TAGAGGAGAAACGGGCCATTTCCTCCATTGAGTGCTGAGTTTTTGGTTACTGTATGTCAGGATGGATCCATAAACAATGCAGATAAATTACAGCTGGCCACACAAGTGGGTCTGGAATTAGAGCAGAGGGAGGGAAATTCCAGGAAGCTGATCCTTGGTGGGCAAGTTGAGCAGAGTTAAGCCAGCCCTGAGGCTCCCTAGGTTGGCTGCTGCTGTTTCTTAGCCACTTCTGAGCTCTGCTGCATCTTCAGTGGTTTAAAGGCCAAAATCCATCTTCTGTGGCCTTTTTGCTGTTGGTTTTGAGCAGAACAGGATCAGACTGTTGCTGATGGAGGCCTGCCTGGTGTTCCCTCACAGAGCTGCTCTTGCTGTACCATCTGTACCCAGAGGGTTACACGGATGGTGCCTCATGGGGTCACTTTTGGGGCAGTGGAACCCACCGTGTCCACTTGTTGATTGTTGCCTACTCTAATTTATAAAAGTACATTCAGTTCTGATCAAGGTCTCTTCAGGAGAGCCCCAAAGTGCCTTTCCCTGCCTAAGCCTCTCTCAGAACACAACACCATGTTGGGAGGGAGGATTCTGCCTCAGCTGAGCTCTTCCTAATTTGTTTTCCTAACCACAAGCTCCACTTTGTGCCCGTTTGTAGTTAACTCTGCACTTCCAGGGGCAGGTGGCATTAACCCTTGGGCCTGCATGGTTCCACTCCTGGAATTTACAATTTTATTAATATATATAAATTTACAATTAAAATACAATTCAGTGAGGTTTTTACAAGTGTGTCTCAATTCAAATTGTCTTGGATTCCTGCAAACTTCTCTTGGTGCTGAACACTAACTCTGGAGTACAGACAAGACAAAGCTCCAGTGATGTCTCACAGGAAAACAAAAGGCTTCCAGGTTTGTTTAGTCCTGACTTTCTTGATTAGAAAATGAAACAAAATGGATTTGTAGTGGAAGTTTTTTTTTATATAGGTGCTTTTAGGCAATGTTTACCTAGATGTCATTTGACTTGAGTGCCATCCTGAAGGACTGGTGGGCTGCCAGTACTGTACAGAACTCGTCAGGGTCCTCCCCTCACCACCCCTGTGCTTTTTGTGCTTGTCCTATGAGTTTATGACTTGCCATAAGCAGTTCAGACAGCAGTTGGATCCTACCAAGCTGAAATGCAAAACTAGCCTTAATTAGAAGTCCCAGGATCTCTGTAGTCAGAAAGGCTCACTCGGATGAATGGGCTAAGGGAAGGAATGACTTACAGGATCAGGCTTTCATCAGCTCATCCCTAGATCTGCTCCCTTTTGACTTTGCAAGGACTGATACCAACTTCTCAAACGGCTCCATCCTTATCCTGCAGTTTCTTCTAGCCATTTGAAAATGTTGCCTTATAAACCATTGGAATTAATTTAAGACCTTTTTTTTTTCAATTTCTAACAGCTTAATTACTGCCTTAAACTAAAAATGAAAGTCAAAATCTTTTGAAGCTGCTGTGGATTAGGAGCAAATGATTATAGATAATAGCTGCATTCTTAGCCCTTTACTGAAAGGGACCAGCATTTTTATTTATAAATACCAAAGATGAAGAAGCTAAGCAATTTTAAGTTAAGTTGCTGTGAAAAAATAACTCTCTAGTACTGTGTATTGCGCATTTTTAGTGCTGTGTTTGAAGTGGGACCCCTCAGGTGTGGCACTGGAGTCCAAGGTGAAGTTTTCAAAGGCACAAGGAGCAGTTGGGTACCTCATTCCTGTTGTCTTCCAGCAAAAGTTGGACATCTTTGAACCCAGTTCTGTTGGACACACCTTTGCAGCAGGAGGTTCTGTATCCCAGGTTCATTGTAAGCCTGCATCCTGTTCCAGTTTTTTATCAACATTAGGGAAAAAAGCATCTCCTATAGTGTCTCCTTCCCAGGATCCATACTTCACTGCTAACAGTAAGGATTTTGTATGACTGTTACATCTCCCATGATAGCCAAACATTTTTACATTTTTTGTGTTTTGAGGTTTTTAGTATCTTTTATTTTTTTTTTAAGCTGCAGTTGCTGGATTTGTAGAAGTAATTCCAATCTGAATTTCCAATGGATCTGAACACCTTATGCTGCCAGTTCATCTCTCTATCATGCCTAGCACAAAGCTGCACTAAGTGTTTCTTATCACTGTGCCCTGACTCTGCCTTAACCTTGAAGTTGAAAAAGTGTTCTGTAAATATTTAAAAGCTGTTACAAAATTGCACTGTACAATTTGGCAGGTGTAGTCAACTTTTAATGGAGCGATCTCATTGTGTTGTGTAAATAAAATCCTCTTAGTAAACACACTCTTGTTGGGATGTTATGTTCTACAAACAGGAATCAGGGAATCCTGGAATGGTTTGGGTTGGAAGGACTTTAAATCTCATCCATTCCCAGCCCCTGCTTTGGGCAGAGACACCTTCCACCATCCCAGGTTGTTCCAAGCCCTGTCCAGCCTGGCCTTGCACACTTCCAGGAATCCAGGGGCAGCCCCAGCTGCTCGTGGCACCCTGTGCCAGGGCATCCCCACCCTCACAGGGAAGAATTCCTTCCCAATATCCCATCCATCCCTGCCCTCTGGCAGTGGGAAGCCATTCCCCTTGTCCAGGTTCTGATGAAGAGCCCTTCTCCACTTTTCTTGTAGCCGCTTCAGCTAGGGGATGGTGCTGAGGTCTTCACACAAATCCCACCTTGCTTGAACTCTTATTGCCCTTCCCAAACTTCACCAAGAGAAGCCTGGAAGTACATCCAAGGCTGAAGATGGAAATGAAAGCCAGACCTGCTCCAAAGCTGTTTTTTGTGAAGATAAGTAGATGGAATTATCACTTTTCACAGCACTGACCAAAAATACTGGGGCTTGTTAGAGAAGCTGCAGTTTGTGGGTCAAGGAGCATTGTCTGTGCTGCCTTTAGAACATCACTGCAATGAGGTGTGGGGGTGAAGTGAGCTTTGAGGTCCTCTCAGCCCAAATGGTGGGAACACTTCCCTGCCAAACCAGGCTCTGGTGCCAAACTAGTCCTAAGACTTCTGAATCACAACCTACGCTTACTTACTGAAGCAAGGAAGAAAAACCTTGTAGCTCTCTATGCCCTGCCTGTTCTCCTACTCCACATTTAAAACCATTTTTAAAGGAGACAAACAAGTCACATATAATTTATATTTTAATACAGAAAAGAAACCATACATCTGGGGTTCATACACAGCACAGGAGCACTTCAGTACATCTAGAGTAAGACAAAAGTTGACCTTGTACTTGAAGTAGGTGACTGTGAGAGGAGGAAAAGCAAACACTTTTAAAATTTGATTCAGTGTTCCAATGGAACTCTACTAAAAAAAAAAATGTAAAGTCCAAAATGAGTAATTACTTGGGAAAGCAAATAAACTAGAGTGGCTAAGTGGTAAAACTGCATGGAAGTCATGGGAGCTGGATATGTCCATCCCATGCTGAAGGTCCAGTGGATTGCACAGGGAACCACAAGCTCCTATAGGCACTGACAGTCTGGAACTCCCAAGAGGGCCTGGTGCAGTTTAATAAATTTCCTGAATCCCTTGGCTCAGGGACACACTGGGTGGGATTTGGTTTGGCTGGATATGGTACTTCAGCTGTCAGATCCCAAAAGGTGCCGTTGAGGTGCAATTCTCAGCACCTGATGCCTTGACACAGTCCTGAGGAGGAGCTCTGAACAACACCCACGCTTCAGTCCGTAGAGCAGAACATGTGAAACCTCCAATTCCAGCTCAGCTGGGCAATACCAACACTCTTAAACCTGACACTGCTGGGGAAATAAATACACACTGGAAAACAATCACAGAGCCAGGGAGCCAGCACTGCTAAGCACTCAGCGCCTAGGGACAAGTTCCACCAGTGCTGGGCTCACCAGTGCTTGTGCTTGTCCCCAGGAACAGCTCATCTCCAAGGCAAGGAGTGGGGTTGGTCTGGCCCCTGGTGGAGGTTCACGGGCCATGTGTCTTCCTTTATCTACCACATAAATAGCAATTCATCTGGAGCAATAATGGAGTATCTGCACATCACCCCAGTGATGTGCAGGCACCAAAGGACACTTCTCTCTACTGACCCTGACACAGAGAGGAGTTCTAAAGTAGTCAAGTGGAATCTGGGCATCTGAACACCTGGAACTCTTAGGTGGTCCTGAAATCTTCCTATAGGCACTTCTTTTTAGAAGAGATCTATTTGCTGCACTTGGAAAAGAAGCTAAGAACAGAAACACTGAGAGAATGGAATTTGTATCCATACTAATGGAAACTAAAATGTGCTGTGGCAGAGATTTGTTACTTGCAACTGAAAATTTCTGCTTGATCCTGTTATGTTACTTGCACTGAAAACCACAAACACGTTAGCTGCAACCAGCAGCAAACTTCACTGCTCAATCTACCATGAACTTGGCAGTCAGGAGAACAATACAAATTTGCTTGATGTTGCAGCCCTGCCAAAACAGGATTAAACTTTCTAGGGCCAGACTGATACCTACACCTCAGTTTTGCCAAGTCTGACCAGGTAACTCAACATCCAGGCAATCCAGGTTCCAACACCTTTGCCAGAGCAGCACTGACCTGTCCAGCTTTGTCAGGAGCTCTCTCCCTCTCTTCTTGAATAGTTTCAGCTTTTCTTTGCACCAGCACCATGTTTAACAACTCTGGTTTGGGTGCACAAAGCCTTTACACAGCCATCAGAAGGGATGGCTTTTTGAGGCAGCCCCATTCTGAGGAAGGGCAGAACTGTGCTCATCATGGGTTAAGCAGTAATGGAGTATCCAGTTCCTACAGGGAACTCCCACAGGGAACTCAGTGCTGCAGGAGCAGGACCAGTGAGGCTCTAATCCACCTGAGCTAAACCAGCCTGGAGTGTGCCTGTTCCTGAACCCAAATTCCCACAGCCTCACATAGATCAGGACAATACATTCAGTGCTGCAAAGAAGTGCTGTTCCCAGGTATATACATTTTTCTCTACTGAGGGCTGGTTTACTGTAGGTATTTCTTACCTGCCTGACAGCAAAATGGTCCAGTCAGTCCAAATTGGGAGGAAAGTAGCTGGCTTTTTAAAGCTTCAGCAGCAGCTCCTAGGAGAGTCTACAGCAATTCTGACTGACTAAGTTTGATGAGACCAAGGATTTTACTCAGGTACTAAACTGAGAGCTCCTCCACTGGCTTTGTCTTAGCAAGGGGATGGAGAAGACAACTCAACTCAACTTCAGCATGCACAGTCACCTCTAGAAAGCTTCTTACATCTATTTGAGTATTAACAGATTTATTTTATTGGTAAAATATCAGCTACAGTCTCTTGGGTTTTCCTTCAGCATGATCTACTCATTTTACTGAAATTAACAGAAAACATCCCTAAAAACAATGATTTCATCTCACGGAGAAGTACAGATGGGGAACTCCTGTGAACAGGCATATGCCTCCTATGGAACTGGTTCCTCCTTCACTAGGGCAGCAGTACACCACGCTGGATCCAAAGCCAGGTGGCAGTGCAAACAGATTCCTCCGTGCTCAGGGTTTCGCTGTCACACTGTGCTACATTTCTGCTGGTTGATAGAGGGTATCATCTGTCCTGCTTTGATGTTCACTCCTCTGTGACTCACAAAGCTGTGCCTAATGGTAAAAGAAAGCTTTGTCTTGACAGGCCCAGAATTTCCTCTCTCATGTCAAACAAAACGTTTCTACGCACTTGTGCTCTTCTTTCAGAAATTTAGATAAAATATTCAGCACCCACAATCCGGAAGCCTTTGTAGTAGAAACAACAGGTCGTTTCTTTTTGTCTGAGGAGATGTTGCTTTTGATTGCACAATTAAGACTACGGAGTGTGGCTCTTTATTAACATGCTTGAAATATGACAACGTAGTAAGAGCATGAACGAGGATAAAGCACCTTGCAGGAGTCTGTGTCCCATCACCTGGGATGAAACTGCGGCAAGAGGTTCCCACATCCAGCAGGATTCTCCACCCTGAGCCACACTAATCCGGTAGATCGTTAACAACCATTTGGGAGAAGGGGGCATTCAGCCTGTCCAGTTCATCCACTTGTGGGGGGTGATGCATTATAACTTCGTGGTCCTCTGAAACATCATCCCCCACCGATACCAGGTTTGTTAGGGATTTGCTCCGAACACACTGGAAATCAACGTGGCGGCTCTTGCCCTCCTCCTTCTCCCAGGACATCTGGATGAACGGCCGCTGCACATAGTTGTAGATCACCTCAGAGCGGCCACCGGGCCTCCTCTTCACCTTCTCCTTGCAGGTGGGATACCCTGGAAACACAGACACAGCCACTCAGCTCCACTGCACCTTTCTGTGCTCACTCACAAAGGGACAACGGGATTCTAGAACATCCAAGTAGGAGTGACTGTGGGGTCAGGGTGGGACACACACACAGCTCTGTAGACAAATGCTCAGATTCCACATTTAGCATTATTGGCTTGCAAAAGACTGCTCTCTTTTCCCTTGCAAAGGAGTTCTGAAAGGCTGGACATCCTTCAAGAAGGAAATCTTAAAGCTACAGAGCAGGTCATCCCCATGTGCCAAAAGATGAGCTGGTGAGGATGAGAAGGAAAAAGGGGCAGATAAATCAGGAGGACTATGAGGATGTCGTGAGGTTATGTGGGGAGAAAATGAGGAGTCAAGGCTGAACATGAGCCCAAGTGGGCAACAAGGCCAAAAGCACCTGGGCTGTACCAGCCATGGTCTGTCCAGCATGCCCAGGGCAGTGATTGTCCCCATGTGCTGGGCACTGCTGAGGCACCTTGAGTAGAGTGTTCAATTTTGGGTCCCTCACAAGAAGAATGACATTGAGGGGCTGGAGTGTGTCCAGGGAAGGGAATGGAGCTGGTGAAGGGTCTGGAGCCCCAGGAGCAGCTGAGGGAGCTGGGAAAGCGGCTCAGCCTGGAGAAAAGGAGGCTCAGGGGGACCCTCTGGCTCTGCACAACTCCTGGACAGGAAGGGGCAGCCACAGGGGGTTGGCCTCTACTCCCAGGGAACAGGGACAGCACAAGAGGAAACAGCCTCAAGCTGTGCTGGAGCTGTTTAGATCGGATATTAGGAAAAATTTCTTTTCCAGGGCTGTCCAGCCCTGGCACAGGCTGTCCAGGGCAGTAGTGGAGTCACCATCCACTAGGGATGGAGGGATTTAAAAGATGTGTGGATGTGGCATCTGGGGATGTGGTGGGCTTAGCAGTGCTGGGTTAATGGCTGGACTCAATCATCTCAGAGGGTTTTTCCAACCTAAGTAATTCCATGATTCTCTGACAAGAGGGTGCAGCACTGTGTGTAGTCAGTCTGCAGGCGTTGCAAAGCACCAGCCATTCTGTGAGCAAACAGAGCTACTATAAAAATAAGTCTCCCAGGACAGACCCCAGCATTCTCTAAGCTCCCTAAGGGAATGACTGGATCAGCAGGTGGAAACATCTGACTCCTGTTTCCTGTTTACTCATTCCTAAGGAGACAAGTCCTTCTCATACATGTTATGTACTTTTTACTTTCCTTTAATTTTTAAGCCCCCTGGCCAATTTCAGTGGAACACGGTAGAGGTAGAGGAAAAACATGCTGAGTTTTAACCAGTTCCATAAAGATAAATGTAAAACACAGAGTAAACTAGGAAATGACTGGAGCCCAAAAGAAATCAGGCTTTACTGACTGTGGAGTCACCTGGTTATGCATTTCCCTAGCTGAAGCAGCACTTTACCTTCGATGCCAATGCGAATGTTCTTCAGGCCCCGTTCCTTTAACACAGCTTTTGCCACATCCCGGTTCTCAATGTACTTGAAGAATCTGTACAGCTTGGAACTGTAAAGGACTTGAGAAATAAAAGGAGTGATTAGAATAGGAACCTTCTCCCTGCTTCTGACATGCCCTGCTGTGCCAGGTGTGGATTCCAAGAATTACTTCAGGTGTCTGTTTTCCTCACTGGGATTAATTCTACTTCCTTGTGGGAGGGCAGAGATGCACATCAGTCTCGATAGACTGGGTGGTGATGGGAGTGTAAAGCAAAGAATATTCCCTCACTAAGGAGCCAGGAAAAGGCTGAGGGGGAGGCAGAAACAGAAGGAACAGTGCAGTAAGTGCTGGGATCAGTTCTAACTAGCCAGGCATCCTGCCTCCAGCAGCACCAGCTCATGCAGAGCACACAAATAACGGCTCCACGTGCCAGCATCTCCTCCTGGAGGAAGCCAGTTTGGGAACGTGTCCTTTCCTTATGGCTGGGTGTGTGTGGAACAGAGTGCAGAGCCCGTACTTTGTGAATACTCCTCTCCCATGGGAGGTGGATGATCCTCATCCCAGTCCACGGTGTCCTCATCGGTCAGCACGACGATGTGACACTCGCGCTCCCCCTTCCTCGCGCTGTCCACCATGATGGGCAGGATCAGCTCCTCCAGGTAGCTGTCGAACTGCTTGTGAGCCCCATCATTGGAGAGCTCATGTAACAGAGCACCTGAGGAGACACAGATCACAGGAGCTTTGCTACAGCATGAAAATACCTCAGCTCTGCACTTCCCAGATCCATCCAAGAGCACAGCCAGAATTCCTCCTCAGACAAAATGCTCAACATATGTTCAGACACATCGACAGCCTCCAGATCCAGAACTGGCAAAGTCAGAAGTACAGACTGCATTTCCAATGGGATGCAAATTGCACTGCAGAACTATTCCATTCCCATTAAAAACCCACCAAGCTCCAATCAATACAGTGAAACAGTAACAGACTGAATAATTAATTCAGTATGATACTTAACTTGAATTTCCAGTAACAACCTCTGCCCTTGAAAGTACATTTTGCTGCCTTCTCTGTGATCACTCACCAGAGAACAGGGCAGGAAATTCCACCCACAGCCTGTTATGATACCACACACCCCATTTTGGTAAAGTATGTTTCACAGACCTGCCTGTGTTAAAAGTACTTGTTTTTGCCAGCATGCCCACCAAAAAAAGCTGCTCCAAATCAAATCCCTTCATGATCAGGAATTCTACTACTTTCCAGATTTGGCATCCTTGGTTCCTGCTCTGCCCATCAGCCTTTAGCTTAAACTATTCACAACTCTCTGGTACATTTTGGGTAGGGGTTATAATCCTGCTTTTAGCCTTCATTTTGTTGGCAGTAGCAGCAAGCTCTGCTCAGCCCCTGTTAAAATAAGGGACTAAAATGTTTATAATTTGCTTTTTGAGCAAAGAGCCTGTGTTCTGAAGGATTCAGTCACTCCACTTTGGACTGAAGCAGCCAAAAGGAAGCTGTTTAAATGCAACTTGAGCTCCACTGAAATCCACTTGTTCATGCTTAAACTAAAGCATAAGATTAAGAACTGCATTGAATCAGGATCAGAGTGCTGAACGCCCTGCAGATGATCTCCTAAAAGCTGGTTTGTCTCCATACTTACTTAAATCTTGACATTTGATTGTGTTGAAATCAAAGTTTATGCAGAGGTAATCACACGTGTCTCGAAGGTCTGGGATGGAAATCCCATCAGGGCAGTTAATGATTCCAGTTTTGTAATAATCCTGTGAATGAAAGGACAGCTTTTGGAGAGAAAAAATTAAGAACATCTTGGACTATGATAATTCCTAATTAGTTCTTTATTTCTTTTGTTGATACTGGAGAGATACTGAAACTATAGCTCTGTGTACAGTAAAACAGCCCTGCTTGTCTGAGAATCGACATCTTTTTGCACATCCTCTAGGGTCTGATAACAATGAGCTCCAGTTAAAACTTTTCCATGGCACAGGGTTTCATAACATCTTTATATGCAACCACAAGGTCAGGATACAGCTCAGGAATTACAACAGCAGGACACAGAAAAGGTAAAAGGAAACATGAGCAAATTTCTGAAATGTGGACTTATACCAAAGACTGCTATATTTTTTCTTTAGAAATCACAATGCAAAATGTAAAACCAGAATGTCCCAGGGAGCGCAGCTGCCTGGAGCTGGCTCATCTGTGCACATGTGACGAAGAGATTGTTTCTTTCTTTTCTCCCCACCTGCAGAGCTGCCCTTACCAGCACGGTGCGGAACACGGCTGAGCTGATCCCTTCTGCGATCTCGTACTCGCCCTTCTCATTTGGACGGGTGAAATTGTATTCTCTGCCTGGCCCAAACATTCTGAAGAGGTAAAGAATGATGTAAGTGCACAAGAACATCAAAATGCATTTATTCCAGAGACAAACAGGTGCACTGGGGTTTAAAGATTCTTTCCTGTGAGGCTGGGGAGGCCCTGGCAGAGGCTGCCCAGAGAAGCTGCGGTTGCCCCAGCCCTGGAAGTTCCAGGCCAGGCTGAATGGGGCTTGGAGTAACCTGGCATAGTGGAAGGTGTCCCTGCTCATGGCAGAGAATGGCAGCTGAGGCCATTCCTTGGTTCTGTGATAAAGCCCAGCAGTGACACAGAGACAGAGTAACTTAAACCTCCACTCCAATCTCTTCCTTAGTAAATAAGGACAAGAGATGGCTCAGGGAGGCCTGGCCTCTGTTACTATGGCTACTGCACTCTAAGGAACAAGCCAAAGGAAAAGATCATTCAGTCCTGGGGCAGAAAATCCCCTGGCAATAAAGCCCTTGCACTGACCTACACCAGATAACTCCACATGGCTTTTGATGCCTTGTTTTACACATTAATCCATGCAAGGGTCAGTGACCCACCAGAACCCTTTGGTCAGAGAGGGGGAAAATGCTGGCAATACAGCACATGAGGATTTCTTGGTGCAGCAACAGGCTCCAACCCCTCAGCAGGAGTAACTTCTCTTTTGGGCGAGTATCGAGAGGTGGCAGCAGGAGAGGATGGAGCATTATCATATTCCCCATTCAGGAGGAAGATTATCAGCTGGGGACAGATGTACAGCTTACATCTGGGGAGAAGGCAAAAGAAGACCGCCTTTGGCTAAAAGTGTGCATTTTTTGATGGACATGGACCAAAGGGAGGCTTATCTAGAGAATTACCAACTCTCCATCTGGGCACATATTCTTGGCCTCACTCACAGCCAAATTCAGACTGAGGTCATCATGTGTATAGATGAGATCACAAAACAAACATGATATGTTTATTCCATTAAAAAAACATTTAGACTGCCTTGAGGTACCTTGAAGGTAACAGAAGTGACCCACCTTCCCAGCATGGTATCAGGGTGAGCAGTAAAGATCTGGGGATTCACTGCAAAGCGGGTGCCATCCACCACCAGGGTCACTTTCTCTGGAGCTACTGTCTGGGAACTGCTGCTTGAAGACAATGCACAGCATCCATGGCGTTCCTGGGTATTAAAATATTCCAGCTGTCTCTTACTTCCATCTGGGATATGGCAGTTGTGAGGTTCTTCAGGAGCAGACAGCATGCTACTGATCTGGGGACTTACTGGGCAAGTGTTGTGTCGGCATTCAGAATCCAAACCTGAGGGACACAAACAAACATTGCAAAGGGAGGACAGAATTTATTGAAAAACATCAATTCACAGTAGCACTTCCTACTGAAATGAGAAAACTGACTCATGTGATAATTAAGGATGCCATAACTGTCAGGGTGATGTTATATGACATAAAACTAGGCTGTTACTGAACTGAACCAGCAGCTGGATGTTTTGATGAACCATGGTGCTTAATGTTCCTTGCTAAAGCAAGATGCATTCAGGTGCAAAGGGCAGGAACACAGGAATTAAACAAGGCCAGAAATACAGACCCAGGCTGCTGGCTGCACTGCCACAGGAAGCTGAGCAGCAGCACACACCTCACCAGAGTGGTGCAAGGCAGCAGTGCCCAGTGCCAGTCCGTGGTGGGCACACAGGACTGCCCAGGTGCCTGCAGTGAATCTGATCAGGGCCAACTCCAGGCTGACCAGGGCCTTCCCGTGGCATGGTCCTGCCAAGATGCTGAACTCTGCTGTGAACTGCTGTCCTTTAGAGCAGCCTGGCACAGGCAGGGCACATACTCTACAGTGCAAACTGCCCTGTGACACTGGAACATTTTCCAAAACAGAACACCCCTTAAAGCCCAAAAAATAATCCCCCCTAAAGATTACAAGGCTGAGGGCATTATCCTTACCCTCAGTCCTGGGAGCTGCAGGGCTGTGACCTCCTAACACCACAGAACTTTCTTCTGGCTCATGGGCTGCTACAGTTCTGTTTTCCACAGGACAGCTGGACTCCAGATTTCTCAACCATTCTGTGCCCCCAGCACAGTTCCCATTCATGCTGGGCCTCCGTGCTGTGAGGAGTTGGTGGCGTTTCCTAAGAGAAGAGCTGGAGAGAGAATCCAGTTTGTTAGTTTTGGGAGAAATTCCCAAGCAATAAAGTTAAAATCCCTGTATCTGGTATCACAAACAAGGTCCCTCAGGCTCAAAAGGCATTTCTTCAGGTATTTAACTCTGTTTCAGAGGCTTATGGTAGTAGTTATGCCCCTACCCACACCTGGGAGGAGGGGGGGAAAAAAGATTTTAAAGTAATGAGAGGTTTGTTAAATCTATTTAATCAATAGATCTTCACTTTTTTAAAGCTAAGTCTAAAGCCACTGATATCTTTAGATCACATGTGTGTTCCTGCAAATACCTTCCTGGCAACTCCTCCAGACCTCTACAGCCCTTTAGAAATGTTTATGTTCTTGACTCCCAGTCCTGGCCAAATGAGCTCTGTAACATGGTACAGCCTGAAATAAAACATTTTCCCAGTTAACAGCTCAGGCGTTGCCTCTTAACCACCCTGAGGTTTTACCAGGAGGTTCCCTGCTCCCAGTCATTGCTTGGTTTTGGTTCTTCCCTCTTGATTTATGCCATGCTGTCACAAAGTGCTGCCCCCAGTATTTAACCCACTACAGTCCCACAACAAACACTTGGATGGTGCAGAACAGCCAGGGCTGGAGCAGCCTCACACACGATACTTTAACCACTGCCACTCAGATCTGGAATGCTCTTCCAGCATATGCAGAGACACAGCTTCCTTTTTTTCCGAGTAAAATTCCTTCCCACTTCTATCTTTAAGACCCACTTCACTCCTTTGTATCTCCTAACAGATCAGATCTCTTTGCTGTCTCTTTCCCTCATTCCCTCTGGCATTTGTTTTGCCCTGGACAGGAACCAGCTTGCCTTTTTTGGCTTCAAGTGTTTTTCTTTCACTCTCTCAAACATAAACCACCAATTTCCTCATTAATTAATTTTTCCAATTTCACCCCTGCAGAACAATTGTCCTGTGTCTTTCCCTGGGCTGAATGGAGACTGCAGGGCCTGCGGGTGCCGTCTCTGACGCCTGGCAGAACTCTGCCATGGCAGAGACAAAGCAGATAAAACACAGCACTAATAAAACATCAAATGCCAAGTCAGAGTTGCTGAGTTTTCTGGACAGCACCTGCTGAGGATGAAGGCCTTAATGAGCAGTTCAGTGCTGGGTTTCAAGCCCATTGTTATTAGCATTAAGTTTACTGGCATTACTGAATTAAGCATTTCATTCTTAATGAGAATTTAAAAAAAGAGTAACAATTCATTACTTTTGTTCTGTAAACCTAATTCTAAATTGTCAGCATTATTATATTTGTATATTTTTAGAAAATCTGCTGCAAACACATCATGTGATGGTCATCCAAAGGAAGATTTTTGGCAACAACAAAACCATTTCTTTTTTTAAAGGCTTTGTCTGGCAGCACAGTGACACAAAGAGCCCCCAAGGGTCATCTCAGTCCCAGCAACCTGAACAGCACCCAGAACACTGCCTCCTCCTCTGTTCTTACCAAAATACCCAGTGGGGGAAAACTCCTTCTCCCCTTTCAGGCTGCTTTTCTCCCCTGGCTGCCTGGACCATGGAGAAACCTTCCTCAGCAGTCCCACCAGAAACTCCTGTGAGTGCTGCCTTGTATGTGGGAATAGACTCATGGAATATCTTGAGTTAGAGGAGAGCATCAGAATCCACTTCTCTGCTGCTCACAGGACCACCCACAACTAAACTGTATGACCAAGCATCTTTCAGGGAGATTCAGGGAATATCCCTGGGAAGGGACCCACAGGGATCATCGAGTCCAGCTCCTGGACCCTCACAGACAGCCCAACAATCCCACTGTGTCCCAGAAACTATGTGTGAACAACCTGAGCAATTGTCTGCCCTCTTCTCTCGTGTGTCAGAGCAGCAAAGGGGTGGTAGAAAGTCCAGCAGTGCTGGGCAGTGGCTATGGAGGGAAATCTAAATATGAAAACCCAAATACTCAAAAACATCCTGGGAGGTGAAAAATGCCCAAACTGCGCCCCCCCCCCAAGCCTTTAAATCAATTCCAGAATTGACAATATCCAGTAGAACAAAAAATTAACTATCTCCTGTTTCATAGCACTGTAATTATTGTGAGGAAATGGAATTTTTCAAGACTGCAAATGTTAAAGTATTTATACAACTAATATTGTGATTTCAAACACATTCACTGAATTATTACATTGTATGCTTTGACCCTGAGATTAGCTCAATTGGCTGGAGCATAATGCTGATAACACCAAGGTTGTACATTCAATCCCCGCATGGGCCATTCACTGAAGAGTTGGACTTAATGATCCTTGCGGGTCCCTTTCAACTCAGAACATTCTGCAATCTGTAATCTGAACCAAAATGCTTTAAAATTTGGTACCTGCACTGAAAGCCAAAACACGTTCTTTAAAATGCAGTTTGATTTACTTAGGGAAAAGTATTTTGAGAGGGGGAAAAGAATACCCTTGTCGAGCACATATACAATCATAACCCTAATTCTAAGGGAAAGCCCTTAAGAGGAGTCATTCTTGAGACTTGCTGGCTGTTAGGAGGAACCCTGGAATGCTCTGGGTTTGAGGGACTCTAAAGCATCTCAAGGGATACCTCCCACTAGCCCAGGCTGCTCAGAGGAACAGACACCACACTGGGCTGTAGCTCAGGAACTCTCTTCCCCTGCATTAAGTTTCCTATATTGAAACAATATCCCTGACAAAGCTGATGCTACCACACTCACCAGGGAACAGAATTTACTCTGAGCTGACATGAAAGCCATTAAGAAAACAAGATAAGCATAAAATTTACTTCTTGGGCCCCTTTCTTCCAGGAGTGCTCAATTGCTGCAGCTCTGCCAACGACCTCCCCTTGGGGTGCCTGAACAATCTCTTGATTATTTAATGCATTACTCAGCAGAGAGGAGTAATTAGGCAGGAAATCAGATGAATAAGCAGAGTATATGAAGGCAAAGCGCAGCTTTGTTCAGGGACACTTAAGACTCCATAACTTCCCCAGAGCGCTGCCTGACAAGCCCCATTTAAGTGATGTCAAATAGCACGAAACACCAACAGACTGAATTTCACAACAACCAAACTGGGTTGGGCAAATGTCGAAATCTTTGTTCATCACCTCAAGCTCTGAATTAAATGCAGAGACCCTGCACACCCTTCAGCAGAGTCCTTAACAACAGCAGCTCAGAAATTATTTACAGAACTATCACCAGTTACACAGGATCTATGATACACCGATTTCCCCTTATCATTCCCCCCTTTCTGCTACTTAATCTGCTAAACAGGATTGTCAGGGAAAAAATGCCCCAGCTGTTTGACACTTTTCTCCCCCTTCTTTTCTGTTACACCAAGTTGAGCACCAGCAAAACCTGCTAAAAACAGCGGCTCTTTGCAATGTGGTGGCTCTCCCAAGCATAAGATCTGACATTCCTCTTTCCTGGAAGTGGAACATCCAGTCCTGCTGATCATCCAACCCAGCTCAGGCTGATGGCATTTCCCTGTCTCCTGGCCCCTCTTAGCATGCCAAAACCCTGCATGTCGTGTGTCAGCAGAATTGAGGGAAATGAGAAAAGATCTTCTGGCACATCTGGCTGGTACAACAAATCCCCAAACTGGTCATTTAACGAGACAAATGTACTGCAAACACACCCAGAACCCAGTGGGGAAACAAGTACATAAAGACTTCAAGGCCAAACTCCTGCCTGACCAGCTTACAAATGTCCTGTTTTCCTTTCATGCCCAGGATCAAGGAGAACTACCCGTGGTGAGAATGAATGCTTATAAATAATAATTAGCACCACTCAGCTTCAAAGCTTTTTACAAATATTAACTGCTCGTTGCTCCTAAGAGCCCTGGGAAGCACTGCAGGGAAGCATTTTATGAGAGAAAACAGGGACACAGAGGCAGAGACCTAATCCTCAGGATAAGAGCAGCAGGCGCACTGCCTACTCAGGTGTTACTCTGACTTGGAGCACGTTCACTCTCAGCTCCCCAGCCCTGCACCAGCAGCTCCCCTGTGCTAGCAGGACAAACACTCCCAGGTTACCACCCTCCTTAGAGGGCTCCTTCCACGCACGTTTCCACCCTCTGGGAAGTGTAAATTGGCTGGTAGCACCGAATGGCTCAGGAGCAGTGAACAGGCACCCTGATGATGTCTTTCCTCTCTTCTCTGTGACTTGTGGGAGCTGGGCACTCAGGAGCAGCAAAAGCCCCATGTCACATTGAGCACTAAAGAGCAGAGAAAGAACTCCTCCAGCGAGAGAAAGGCTGGAATTTTAATTTTTTTGAAGGAATCAGTATCAGAATCAAAAATCAAAATTCCCATCGGGCTCTGCCTGCTGGTTTTGCCAGACTTGAAGCATGTGGGCCCCTCCTTCCTCTGGAAGACAATAATGTCAAGAATGAGCTGTGCAACTTCACAAACATCTCTGTTCTCCAGACCCTGTGCTGGTAGTCCCACTGAAATCATCTCTATTTGAAGTTGTCTAGAGCCTTGTCTTTTGCTGAGGGAAGATCATGGAAGTCGTATGTAAATTGTTTTTAATCACAAAGCGGAAACACTTTAATTTTGCAATGCACCATCGGTACAAACAATTCATGCTGCAAATGCTTTGCAGAGATAAAGAGGCTGATCCCTGTTCTTTACAATCCTTAAGGAAGTGTTCTGGAATGTAAAGAGGCTGTGACATTTTCAGCACGTTATCCTTCCCCACCCTAAGGAATCTAAAGCACTTCCAAAGCCACTTCCCAATGCATTCAGCTCTCACGCCAGTACTGGAAGAGCTGAATGGCTTCACTTGCATAGAGCACCATGACCAAGGTTATGTGTGCTGTGAAAAGAAACGCTGCAACGTGGCTAGCAGAGAAAACTCTTTTAGATACGGCACACTTATCAAGCAAGAGAAAACAAGGACATCAGTACAAATGTACTGGTTTCTGGGTTTTATTTATTGTATTACAGAAATACAATATTCCATTATATTTATAAAGACATATTCCTTATCATTGGAATTTTTTTTAAAGAGCCATTATAGAGTTAGGTATGAAGAACTTCACAGAAACTTCAAAGAAAAATCATGAAAAGCCTAGCTGCCAAAATCCATTGAGAAGTAAAGCCCTTGCTATAAGACCTGACAGCTTTTACAGGGTTTCACTGTCATCTGGCATGGCAAGAGAGAAGATGTAAGAGAGTAAAGTAGTGGAAATGAGTGTCTTTACTTCACCATTTGGTTTGCAAACGGTGAGGAAGAACCAGCAGTGAGTGAATCAGCTGGTGAACAATCCTCCCCTCTTCCTAAACCACAGCCTAACCATCATGACTGAAATAAAACTCCAAACAACTAATTTTTAAGGTGACAACACTCCTTTAAGTCTACAAAAACATTCCCATGTACAATTATTCTCAGAAATATGAGCAAGCAGGAAACATGCGTACGCAGGGTGTGCCTGACCTAATTCCACAGTCCTACACTGAGAACAAGATGGATTTCTAATGGAACTGCACGTCCTTCCATACTGGCTAAAGCCTGGCTTTAATTTGTGTCCTGGTTTAACCCCAGATGGCAAGTGAGCCCCAAACAGCCATGTGCTCACTGTTCCCTGGTGGGATGGGGAGAGAACTGGAAGGGTAACTTGTGGGTTGAGATCCAGATATTTTAATAGGTAAAGGAAAAGAGGAGGTTGTGTGGAGATCTCACAGCACCTTCCAGGATATGAAGGGGCTCCAAGGACGCCAGAGAGTTGCTCATAATCAACTGGAGTGACAGGACAAGGGGAATGGCTTCCCACTGCCAGAGGGCAGGGATGGATGGGATATTGGGAAGGAATTCTTCCCTGTGAGGGTGATAAGCCCCTGGCACAGGTGCCCAGAGCAGCTGTGGCTGCCCCTGGATCCCTGGGAGTGTGCAAGGCCAGGCTGGACAGGGCTTGGAGCAGCCTGGGATGGTGGAAGGTGTCCCTGCCATGGCAGGGGGTGGAATATGATAAATTTTAAGGTTCCTTCTAACCCAAGCCAGTCTGGCATTCTATGACTCTACAAAAACTGTGCATGTAAAAAAGGAATTCATTCCCCACTTTCCATGGGCAGGAAGGTGTTCCATGCCCAGGAAAGCAGGGCTCCATCACCTGGGAAGAAAAACACCATCACTCCTCACATCTCCTCCTGTTCCTTCTTCCCCCAGCTCTATATGCTGAGATTGATGCCCTAAGGAATGGAACATACATCCCTGGGTCAGCTGGCCTGGCTGTGTACCCCAGCTCCTGTGCACCCCCAACCCACTGGTGGGTGGGGAGTAAAAAAGGCCTTGGCTCTGTGTGAGCCCTGCTCAGCAATAACTGAAATACACTTGTGTTATCAACCTCTTTTTTTCCAGCTAAAATCTAAACTGCAGCCCCCTACAAGCTACCAGGAAGAAAACTAACTTTATATCAGCCAAAACCAGCATAAATTCTTAAAAGGTCTCCTTAGAATATGCCAAAAGTTTCTCTAAATATAAAAGCAGAGAAACAAATTAGCAATGATTGACTTTCTACTTCCAAGAGCAAAAGGGCAATCTCATGGGTTTAAGATAAATAAGGAGAAGCGTTTCCTGTACCTAAGGATTACAGGAATCACTGTTAAGATATAAACCACAGCAGGGAATGCAGCACGGAGATAACATCTCCCCTGGGCTGGGTAATATTGGTTAAGTAAAAAACCAGCCATCAAACTTGATATGAAAAGTTATAATATTGACAAGTAGGTAGCAATCCAACTTCTAATTTTCATAATAACTATTTGCTTCTGATCATCAGATGGAGACTTTCCCAGAGAGAGAGAGAAAAAGAGAAAAAAAAAATGATTCTGCCTGTCAGCTCAGTTCACCTGCAATAAAAACTTCCCAGTTACAGGGAGATATTCCAGAGGGCTGTGCAGTGACAGGAACTCATCTGGTAGAAAGAAAGACAAAAAGTGAAATGTTCTCCTCTATTAAAAAATTAGACCAGACCTGGTGGCTCATTCTGTGACTATGAAGGACCCTCCAGAGACACCCCCTGCCATGGGCAGGGACACCTTCCACTGTCCCAGGCTGCTCCAAGTCCTGTCCAGCCTGGCCTTGGGCACTTCCAGGGATCCAGGGGCAGCCACAGCTGCTCTGGGCACCCTGTGCCAGGGCCTCCCCACCCTCACAGTGAAAATTCCTGCCCCATATGCCATCTATCCCTGCCCTCTGGCAGTGGGAAGCCATTCCCTGTGTCCTGTCACTTCAGGCTCTTGTCCCAGACCCCTCTCCAGCTCTCTTAGAGTCGGTTTAGGCGCTGGAAGGGGTCCTAAGGTCTCCCTGGAGCCTTCTCCTGTCCAGGATGGACATCCCCAACTCTCCCAGCCTGGCTCTTTAGCTCTCTCCCAGGCAGGGAAATCAGAGTTTCCAGGCTGAGCTCCAAGCACTGCGCTGTGCACCTGCACCAAGGGAGATGCACAGGGCAAGGTGAGACTTGGTAGGTGTGGGGTTGCCACTCCCTGGCACCTGTAGATACACCTGGAGCACAACATGGAAGTGCGTTCACCTGGACTGCACCAGAGTGAGAAACATCTGACTGCAGCCTTCACGTGCTTTTCACAAACCTCCTACTGATCCTCATTTCATTTTCCAAACACAAGCAGACAATAAAAGCTGATTTATAGGTTGAACCAGCACAGGCACATGACAAAAAGCTTTTCCCTTGTTATGAAATAACTCTATCAATATACAGAGGATTCATTTTCCATCTGGCTTCAAATGATAGATGGAAAATAATGTCCAGCAGGCCTGATGCAATGCAGGACAGCTTGAAAATGTTGGCAAGAGACAGCAAGGAGGCTGATGAAGTGCTTGATTGTTTCTTGCATTCTGTGCATAGTGCTGCACTATTAGCAAAGTTTACTGACTTACTCATTTACTTGAGGCTCAACAAAAATCCACTGTTTCTACAAATGCAATTCAAAACTACAGTTGGCAATATGGGTCTAAGTGTTCAACACTGCACTTGCACACCTTGATTTAAGACCTGGGGGTCACCAGGTCCTTCTATCACCACCAGCACTCAGTTTATGCACTGAACTGACCCCTCATCATTGCCCCACACTCACAGCAGCTTTTCTTTTGCCAATTTACAATCACCAAGACTGATATGGCAGTAAAATAACGGATTTATTAACTGGATGTAACCTACTGCAGACTTTCCCAAAATAGGAAGGTCACACCGTGGCAGCCTCATCAACAGAACAGATGAAATGCATCCAGCAATGTCCCATCGCGGGAGCAAAATTCCTGACCATGGCAACAAGTTACTGCTTTTTTATTTCCTTCCTTCTGAGGCCCAGGATACTCATGTTAGAGAGCAAACCCAAGCAAACTGTAAAGGGTATTTCCTCACACTACTGGAATAAAGACAGTCATCTGAAAAATTATATTTGATCCTCATAAAGACCTTCTTACCACTATGGCAGTGGCAGCTTTGTCAGTGCTATCTGATGAAATTCAGCACTTTTAATAAAGCTGACATGCCCATATAGAATACAAACCTCCTTCCTTGGCAGAAGGTTGGAGTATGCAGATCTGATCAGGGAAAAGGGGAAAAAAAACTGTGGCAAAAGATGAGCTGTTGCAAATATAAGCAGAATATTTTTGTCTAGAGACAAAATGTTCCCTGCTAAAATAAACAATATTGAGTTAAATAAAGTTTTAAGGCAGGTGACACCTGTGAGTTATACTTTCTCTTCACCTGTGTTAAACTAAGCTACAAATACTCTGGTGAAAGCCTGCAACAGGAGTAAGTGCAGCAGACAACAGAGTTTGGCTGTGATCTCTGTTCTACAATTTGCTGCAAAAGTACTTATAAAGCTTTCAGAAAATCCCACGTACTTCAGCAAGGCATAAAAGCAAGAGCTGCCTTATCCCTTTGGATTTAAAAAAGCTTTTATTTCTCAACTTTTGTTCTTAGGCAGTTAAATCAAAATTGGTTCCAAATTCCCACGATTTCAATTCCTGCATTTATATTATGAGAAGTCCAGTTTTTCAATTATAAACTGCAGCAAACAGCGTAAGGACAAGGGTATTTCTGAGGGAGTTCTAACAGAGACTCTGATCCATCTGCAGTCACCAGAAGTTCTGAGCAGAACTGATCACCCACATTTCCTGGTGTAACTCTGGAGCAACCCCTCTACCAAGCACCCCTCACTTACTGCCGGCTCATCCGTGCTCGGTGCTCCCTGCACCGCGATGCCGAAATCCTGCCGGAGCAGAGGGAAGCACCAGAGCATAGCAAAGCTTCGGAGTTTAAACTCTTTGAGCAGCAGTGGTCACTCCCCCAAAGCCCGGGCGGCTGATTCATGTAAATATTTCAGGTTAAAAGTCCCTCCAGCTGATTCATGGAGAGTTTGAATATAATCTGTGCCATAAGAGCTTTAAGTCTCTTTTCAGTAGAATCCTCCCTCTCTCTCCAGCTTCCTCATTCAGATAGTTTTTGCAGGAATTGTGTGGTAGAAAAGGCTCAATTTTATTAAACCCCTGATGTCATTAGGTAAAACACCCTCCTGCCACAAACCCCTTAGACAGGCAGAGAGGAATCAGCTACCAGAATTTTTGGTTATGTACATAAGTCTGTGCACATGGATTCCCAAGCTCAGGAGCCCTAGGACTTGGGCCCAAGGAAATTGACAGTAAGTGAGGATAAAATGAGTTATATGGACACTGCTGAAGAGCCTCAGTAAGAACCACCACTTTCCCTCAGTGCTTCCATGGCCAAAGCAATACATGTTTATGTCACCTGGAAATGTTACCCTCTGTCTGCTCTAACAGTCAATCAATCAATTCTGTTTCTGACTGCTTTCCACTAAGATACAGCTGGATTGCTCAGAGACTGCTCCAAACACAATTTCATAAAACAACAGAATTAAATAGATTACATATCATCAATAATATATAATTTTTAATGCAAAGAGTCTAAACAGGCAGGAAATTATTTTCCTCCTGACTCACGCCAGTGATAAAGCACATGTGTCCTGACAAGTCTGAATGAAAGATGCCTTTGGAGAGCTCTTAATTAAAAACAAACCAAGTGATACAACATAGAAAACAAATCAAACTGACTAATTTACTAACTTTTGCATGCAAAAACTTGTTATTACTTTTGGTTTAGGGGCAGGATTTTATTTCTTTAATGTCCAATTCTCTCATATGTCTAGAAACAGGTGCAATAAAGCTCCTGTGGCCTGGTAAAGAGGCTGGGGGAATGTAAACAGCAAGAACCTCTTATCACCAAGAAGTGTTGTCCCACACCAGGTGAGGCTGGTGGCCATCATCAGGAGAAATAATAGATTTATATATTTTTATATATAAATTACATAATTTGCATAATTTATAAATTAGCTTTTATAATTACCCCATTTGTTTTTAGCACAGTAACTGTCCATTGTGGATCTCTTGAGATGAGCATTTGTATGTTATCAATGTGCTTTGAACTACACAAGTTTTGATTAATTTAAGTAAAAATTTAAAATTCAGCAGAGACAATATCCTAAACCAGAATTCCCCTCCTCATTTACAGAGCTTTTGGTTTGATACAAAAAGTTACCTGACAGTTCACCCATGGCAAAAAACACCTACTTGCTTTGACTCTTATTTTAGAAAGGCTGCGAGCAGCTCCAAACTCCACCTTCCTTCTCTGGAAGGGATCCCAACAAGTAACTGCTCACTCATTCCCAGCTCATCTGCTACAACTCTGCCCTACAACTCCAACTGCCATTCATTTCTAACCAATTACACGGCAGCAGCTCGGAAAACTAACAATAGGTGACGCGTTTTTGAAAGTTGGATGCAGTCACAGGAGCTTTCAAAATAATGACAATGAAAAAACTCAAAGCAAACCCAAGAAACAAATCCAGGGAGGCTACAGTGGCATTTGCAAGGATATATTGCCACGTTGAGAAAGAGGTTGAGACTCCAGGTCCTATCCAGCGTGGAAGGGCAAAAGTCAGGTGTGGTCAGGCAGCGCTGGGGATCTTGGAGCAGGTCTGGGGTGGCTCAGGCTGGCAGCGGGTCCCTGCCAGGGGCATTATCTGCCATCCCCACGGGCACTGCCCTATCTCACCACAACAGGTGCTGCAAGCCTGCTCCGATAAAGATGAATTTTCCTATGGAAGGACAGAGATGCTCCTTTGAGCTAAGGCACAAAGGGAATATTATCAGTGTTGTCCTTAGAAAGAACCGAGTTCTCTGAACCAGACACATGGTTTAATTCTCATTAAGATACAGACAATAAGAAAAAGCAAAACAAACATAAGGCTCCTTTCACGGTGCAGCTGCATTAGTAACTGCAAGTAATACTGAGTAATCCGAAACCAAAATAAACACAAGAGTTTTATTTAGCACAATTACAGCTCTTTGAAAACGCCTCCTGATTTATTTTGAGGAAGGCAAGAGCAGGGGCTACAATTTCATCTAGGTGAGGCCAACCATTAGCACTCTGGCAATTCATGTCAGCAGAGAACCTGATACCTTATTTTCAAGAACTGAAAAACAGTTCATGATTTCAAACCAGCCAAGGTTTACAAGGGGACATTGGCAAGACAGCTCTTGCTTTGTTTACATGCCTGGATAAATATTTTACATGTCAAGCATAGTTATAACACTTTCTAAGAATATTCCATTACATTATTTCTTCTAGAAAAATATTTGGCTAGTGCTGCGTTACAGCAAAATTAGCCAGGAACTGGAGCCATATTTTGAGGGAGTAAAAAAGGGAAAATACCACCGAAAAAATTATAAAATTGAAAAAGCAAAGATGCCTATTTCAACACACATAATGAGGTGTTTGTGCTGAGGGAAGGTGACCATTTTGGTACTGGATAAGGTCACTATTGAAACAGGAAAGTTCTAAAATTGAAGTATATTCCAGAACAAACCTCTCTGGCTTGTTTTTACCTTGACAAGCAAGAACCCAGCAATATTCTAGTCAAAACTGTAGCTGGTTGTGTGCCTATCTCAAAGATAAGATGCAAAAGAGATGCCAGGACTTCTTACAAGTTACTTATTTCAAGGAAATGGTCTTCAGAGCCTGTCCTTGTGAGGAATATTCACTCTTCTACTGAATAATCCAAGAGATTCTCAAATTAATTCGCATCTTCCAGCAGCAGAGCTTATGTGTGGTTTTAATAAATCCTTAACAAGAAGATAGGTTTTCCTGCAGAGCATGCTAACTAAAGGGTCTATAAATGTCCCAAAAGCAGCTCCCTCTAACCTGAGGATTTCAACTCAGTCCTGACCAGAGGTGACCACACTGTGACATTTTAGAGCTCTTAACATGGCCTGCCTGAAATGAGGTGGCTTTTGTCAGTCTGGCTGAAGACACAAGACATCAGTCACCTCTCACTGCTAAACCTGGAGCACCTCTCCCATAAGCAGAAGTCCCAGCAGGGGAACGTTTCCTCCAGCCCCATGTGCCAGACACAGCCTGGGCAGCACGAGGGGCTGGAATGCTCCTTGTCAGGGTTCCAGCTGCTCCAGAAGTAAAGCCTTTAAGGCTCATGGCTCTCAATCTGGTTCACAGGAGGTTTTGTTTTGAGTTGTTATTTTTAATTCAGCTGTGACAGCCTTCTAATTAAAGATAGCACTAAATGTCTGCAGCACATAGGGTGAGAGGCTGGAGAACACTCTATTTTCTGCATTAAGAATTGTTTCATCTCTCAGAAATGCAATAATTCCACTCTCCAAGTGGTGAAGTGGTATTTCCCATAGCTGTTCATAACACCTTTAAAATGCTTTTGGAATGACTTAACAGCACAAAGTCAAGACACACAGAGGTGCCACAGCCTTGGCATATTAACCAGTTTTCTGAAAACAATTGATTTTCAAAACCAACTTTAAAAAGGAGAGGCCCATGATCTTGGCAAAGAATATTTTGTAATAGGGACATTTGACAGACAGAACACCAGGTAAATATAGCACAGCGCTAATGCACAAAGCTCTCCACAGCTTTATAATTATCAATAAACAAACCCAGTTTCCCCTTTGCTTGGCCAGCACAAGGTAACAGAAGTCCTTAGACTGGTTTCACTTCAGTATCTTGTGCAGAGAATCCCCAGCTGACCTCCTCTAACCCAGCTGTTTATCACTCCTTGGGCCTGACAGCAAAACTGCACATGAGCACAGCTCCTTACATCAAACACACCCATTCTGGTCTTTCTGAGAGCCGCCTTGTTCAGCCCTGCGAGGGGACTTCCACCCCCAGAACACCGGGAGCAGTGGCACAGCTGTCACAGCGCCCTTCCCATCTCACCACAGCCTCACCCCGAGCGGAGACAGGGGCAGACACGCTCCAGCCCCATTACTGGATGTGAAACAAGAGAGAATACTGGGAATGAGAAAGCTCCTCTTCCATGTGCCCAAGAAATGCTCATGATCAATATTGTTCTCCATTAGTGCAGCATCCAAATCGATGGTTTCGACCGCACTCAAAGGGAGCTTTGAAATCGCTGGGCAGCACAGCTGAGTCCAGAGATCAGCAGCATTTAGAGTAAAAGCTAAAACCTGCCTGTCCCAAGTGACTCAAACATTAGCTAATTTACACATGCTTAGGATGGATCTCAGCAAAGCCTGGATATGGGCCAAACCTTATGGTCTTTGGGTACTTTACGTTAAAGCTGAGCCACTTCTTAAATCTACCTGAATCATCTGATTTGCACATGACTGAATAATCTTAGGATTTTTCATATTTGTAACTTAGTCAGCCTGAAAGGGAAAAGAAAAATTAGATCCTACAGAAAAAGGCCAGGTTGTGCTCATATATACAAGAGAAACTCCATGGATTTAAGAAACTAAATTTTAACAGCGAATCAAACCCTGAGATTTTAATAATCTCTATTTCTTTTCTATTCCTTAGTTGGATTCCTTTCCCAACACAGGCAGTAAAGTCTTGTTTTCCAAAACCCCTATCAGTTTAAAGGCCTTTGCTATGTACACATCCATCTCCTGAGCCTGTATCAGCCCCTGACATTGGACCAAGGGCTTCTCAGCAAGCATTAGACTACAGGGAAGTCTGTGAGTGCTTGCTGGAACATTTCTGTCAATGGATTAGGGAACTCATTCATAACCACCAACTGCCACAGCAGATAACATTCCAGACAGACGGAAGCTTTTCTGTGGGTAGAGATTACGTAACACCACAATTTTTAATCCACTTGTCCAGAGGAAGAAGAAATGAGCTCACTTTCACGGAGGTTAATGCTTCCTTATTCTGTTTTTCTCTGTTCCAGTCATGTTGAACCACCAGATGACACTGAGCACATGAACTGAGGGACTTGGA